AACCAATCTTCCTGTCACTTACACCTACTATCCTCCACTCTCCAGTGAAAGTTCACTCAACACTCCCCAGTGCCCGAACAGGCAATTATAAATGTGCAGACAGAAAGATAACATTCCTCCAACCCGACTTGCGAGCTATTGGCACTGTAAGATCACATGGCAAGATAAGAACTATATAGACTGCCTCAGCGGTAAACATAAACACCGGTAGGTTCTCCTCACACCCTTTAGTCTCAGTCTATATCTGCACAACTTCCTGTTGTTCTGAGTCTCTGCACTTAGACACCTACTTACACACAGCATTTCATGTGCACGGGTCCTTTTACAAAGGTCAAACAGATTAAACAATTATTTAAACAGTTTTGCAAATACATAACATAGCACTATATCATTTTATCAAGAATTTCTTTCTACATCTCCCAGAACATTCATTCCTCGTCTCATAATTTTTACACACTTCACACTTCTGAAATATTTGGCTTTATTTTGAAAATTTCCCCCTATTCAAATTAATGGGAAAATTGTACTTCAGCATACTTTCAGGTATATATGCCTTTCAGGTGTCAAAATGTTCAGCATTTTATTAATAAGTTCAGCATACTTTCAGCTAGAAAAGCCATTCAGGTATCAAAATGTTCAGCTCTTCAAGGCCATTCCTACTTTATTGCATCTCATCCTTCAGATTATTCAACAAAGAACTTCAGCCATTTCTTCTCATCTTTCAGCTGTTTCAGCAATTGATTTCAGGCATTTTCAGGACGATCTTCAGCATATCGGCATCCACACGCGTTTACAACAGGAAATCCATTTCTCTAATTGTGTGGATGCTTTACAGCATCCACACTATGCTCTTCTGTTTTTTATTTATTATTATTACTGTGTGTATGCTTCACAGCATCCACACTATCTTATCCTGTTCTTTATTATGTTATCCTGTTCTTTATCATTATATTATTCTGATTTCTTCCGTTCGTTTTTCTGCACTTAATTTCTTCAGCATACTTTCAGCTACAAAAGCCACAAAGTTATCAAAATGTTCAACTCTTTAAGGACATTCCTGCCTATATTTTTATTGTTTGTAACATTTATACTTTTTAACACATTTAGCTTTAGCTTAGTCCCTGTGATCTGTGGTCTGTTCTGAAAGTTTAAAATCCATTGAATAACATATGTTGATTAATCCATCCATTTTCCTCTGCTTATCCGGAACCTGGTCGCGGGGGCAGCAGTCTAAGCAAAGATGCCCAGACTTCCCTCTCTCCAGACACTTCCTCCAGCTCCTCCGGGGGAATGTTGGTTAATATACTGATTAAAACACAGTTTAAAACATACTTAATAATGTAATTTCCATGACAACATCCCAAACATCTACCTCTATCTTGAGCTCTACTTCCACCTGCTAGGTCAACTTCCACTGTTGTTGTAAATAGGTGCTCACCTTTGGTCCTTTCTATAGTGCTAATAAAGTCAAAGTCAACATTCTGATTAATGAGTCAATAATTAAGCAATAAGGTGTTTGGCCCAGTGGCAAAAGGTTTTTTAAAATTGGTTCTGTAGTGTGACATTTTGAATGACAATTTTTTGAAATGGCATACAAGTGATTTTATGGCAGATGTAGAGAACGGTGTAGTGTTTTGGAAAAAGAATATCATTTTAAATTGCAACATTGGTGCAAAGCAGAAAACGTAAGAAATTTGAAGAGTTGAGCTGAATTTTTGCTCCCTACAGTGTCAGTTTTGTTGATTGTGCCAAGTGTGCTATTTTAGTGTTAGCAACTGAAAAAACTGTAATTCCAATGACATGTTCCAGTCTTTATTATAAAATGTTGTGATCACTGGTGTCATATGCAGCACTAAGATCTAGAAAGACAAGTGTAGAGATGAGTCCGTTGTCCATTGTTGGTGACTTTCACTGGTGCTTCTGTACTATGATGGAGTCTAAATCCTGACTGAACATCTTCACACAAATCCTTCTTGTGCAAGTGATCACATAAGAGAGGTCACAACATACAGTACTAATCATGCTGGTATGCTGCTATGTGCTTGCTTGCTTTTTGAGTATAAATGAATAGTTCCATTTAAATAGGTAGGCACTTGATATACTGTGCAATCCAACATCTTACTGCCACATTAATTAAACATGACTGTTGAGTACTTTTTAAAGAAATTATTACTTTAATGAGTGTGCTGTCTTGGAACTGTTATTTTACAGACAGGCTCTATGAAAGGATGAATATCATGAATACATTAATATAATACTTTAAATTCACCCCTTGCTTGTCACCCACTGTGATTTTTTTATATTTAGTTTTTAGAAACACCGATATCCCATTTCTCTGACAAATGAAAAATTACAAACTACAAATTTACTAACTGCCCGTCTGTATGTGTGTGTGGTCTATTCTTCCTCAGGACTACTGTGGCAATGCTCAGAGTAATGGAACCTTCAGAGTGATCACTGAGAATATTCCGTGTGGAACCACAGGAACCACCTGCTCCAAGACCATCAAGATCTTCTTGGGGGTAAACAGTCAATATAAAACCTTTTTCAAAAAAATCTATTGATACCATAAACAGCTGTTTGATATATTTTATGATTTTTGCATTCATCATTTACATTTTATGTCTCATTTCAATAGCCACACTCTAGTATTTCTCAGTGTGTAGGACTAGTTTTTCTTTCTCATGCACACACATGCACACAAACACCTACACACACACACACACACACAAACAACACTACTTCTTTTACCTACTTTGCGGGGACCAATAGGGAAATGTTCACATCTTAATAAGCTCAGTATACTTTCAGCTAGAAAAGCCATTCTGGTATCAAAATGATCAGGTTTTTCAGGACATTGTGGCATATAGTCAAGGTTTTTTACAACTTTCGAAAACATTCAGCATTTTTCTGACAATTTTGCCCCATTCAAATGAATGGAGAAATTCAACTTCAGCATACTTTCAGCTATCAAAATGTTCAGCTCTTCAAGGACATTCATGCTTCTATTCAGAATTTTTCTAAACTTCGTATATTTTTTAAATATTTAGCTTTATTTTGAAACTTTTGCCCCATTCAAATGAATGGGGAAATTCTATACTTCAGCATACTTTCAGCTATTTCAGGTTGCAAAATGTTCAGCTCTTTAAGGACATTCATGCTTCTCTTCAGGTTTTTTGTAAACTTCATACCTTTGAAATATTTAGCTTTATTTTGAAAATCATGCCCCATTGAAATGAATGGGGGAAATTCTACTTTAGCATACTTTCAGCTATTTCAGCTATCAAAATGTTCAGCTCTTCAAGGACATCCATGCTTGTCTTAAGGATTTCTCTAAACTTCACACTTTTGACATTTTTAGCTTAATTTTGAAACTTTTCCCCCATTCAAATGAATGGGAAAATTCTACTTCAGCATACTTTCAGGTATCAAAATGTTCAGCTCTTCAAGGACATTGATGCTTCCAAACCTTAGACCTTTTGACTTTTTTAGCTGTATTTTGAAAATCTTCTCACATTCAAATGTGTGGGAAAATTCTACTTCAGCATATGTTCAAATATAAAAATCTTCAGCTCCTCAAGGACATTCATACTTCTATGCAGAATTTTTCTAAACTTCATACTTTTGAAATATTTAGCTTTATTCTGAAAATCTTGCCCCATTCAAATGAATGGGAAAATTCTAATTCAGCATACTTTCAGGTATCAAAATGTTCAGTTCTTCAAGGACATTCATGCTTCTCTTCAGGATTTTTGTAAACCTTATACCTTTGAATAATATAGCTTTATTTTGAAAATGTTGCCCCATTCAAATGAATGGGAAAATTCTACTACAGCATACTTTCAGCTATTTCAGGTAGCAAAACTTCACAGTTCTAAAATATTTAGCTTTATTTTGAAAGTTTTGCCCCATTCAAATATTAGCATGTACTCTTATTGCACCAGTGGATGTCAGGCAAACTGATATTTCAGTTTTTCTTTTTTAATAAATCTGCAAAAATGTCAAAAATGCTGTGTTTTTCTGTCAATATGGGGTGCTGTGTGTACATTAATGAGGAAAAAAATGAACTTAAATGATTTTAGCATATGGCTGCAATATAACAAAGAGTGAAAATTTTAAGGGGGTCTGAATACTTTCTGTACCCACTGTATGTGCTTTAGTAGATTATTTTTCTCAAAGGCAAAACATTTTAATTTATTATATTTAACAGCTGTATTTACCATTCATACTAAAGTATTTGATTGGTTTATAAAATATGGCGCATTATATATTTGTATAGTTCGTTTTAGATGTTTTTATGTTGGTAATTTTTACTGTACAGCACTTTGTGCTCAGACAAGTTGTAAAGTGCTTTATAAAGGTTATTATTATTATTATATGTTAAACTACCCAGCAGTTTATGAATTAGTTATAATCAGCTGTACTTTCACCGATTAAAACATTAAAGAACCTTTATCTATGAATACTTCAATCATAATGATCCAGTAAACTAATACTATACCACTGTCAAGTGTTGCTCAGTAAAGTGAATACTTCAACTGTTTATATTTTGAAGCCTTGTTATTTCAATCAATGAGTCAGTATGTCAGATGCCTAGTTGGTAATAAAACTGTACAGATGTAAACAAACAATTTAATGATGTAAAATTTTGAATCCAGGAGTTTAAAATGCTTATTAAATACTGTGCTACGTTTAAGTGAATCATTTGAACACTTCTTCCACTGACAAAATGAAGCACAGATCATCTCGAACATTTCTACCTGAATAAATGATGCAGCCAAAAAAAACATCGAGCCTTGGAAACGCATACACAGCCACGTGATAGTGACACTGAACCACAGTGATTTTTCTAATCAGTTCCTCCACAGATTAAGCATTCACTGATGATTAATTGGATCATTCACTCAGTGCCAAAAATCACTGAAACCCGCTTTCAATTCATCAAAGTGTTTGCATATCAATACCGCGACAGAGAGGTTTGCACCAGGAGCCCATTAGATCTCCTGCCAGTGGGGAGCTAAATTAGAGGTGATGCTTAAAGGGGGAGGGGCCACTCTTTCTTTCCTTTCGGGATATGGTGATAGATAAGTATAAAGACCCCCTGCAAGAATGCGAGCACGTTGGAAAAAACAAGTCATTGTGTTGCCTTCCCTCGCTCGAGTCAGAGACGCTCCAAAATGCAGCCGCTAATCCTGCCTGTTCTCCTGGCATCATTTTGGACAGTCTGCACAGGATCGGCAGGTAAGTCTGCTGCAAAATATGTAAAACAGCTGGTGCTTTATTTTAATTTTTCTCGCCTTTGTGCGGGTCCTAGATTGTGAAAGAAACGGGAAAATAAAATGGTGTAGCTTGGGGGGTGGGGGGGTACCTGTAGTTATTTTACATCTAAGCATGCAATTGATTATATATTATTTATGCAATGTATACAACTCCTTTCAAGATTAAACAATAGACTAAATGAATATAGAAAGCTCTTGAGTGAAACCAGCAAGGTGAAGTTGCTTTATTCCAGTTTGTCCTACTGTCAGTCACTTTATTCATCTCGAAAGTTAATATACTGCGGAATCCCGGATGATTAAAAATTCGGAAAATTAAAAATACTGAAACCCAAAATAGAGGAAGAAATGCGTGCTGCTAAGAAAAAAGAGAAACGGAATCACTGAAGAACCACAGCTCTGATGAAAGCGAGGCACCCCCTTCACCGTATCAGTACCAAAACCGCCTGCGTGACGCTCTCCACCTGTCCATTCCCCCCGGGCTCTGTGCCGTGCGTCCGACATGCTCATCTGAACCCATGATGGGATACAGAGATCCTGTATCAGCAGAGCCAATAAACAAGCAAACAGATTTGAGTGAGATGAGATTCTCTCTCTCCTGCACCTGGTCAGACCCAGACTGAGCCATGCGTCCTTGTTGCTGCAGAGAGGCGCGTCGAGCTGCGCAGCTCTAATGATTCCACGGCGGCTGAGTCTGAGGCACTGGGGTTTTGCGTCGAGACGCTGGTGGCTTAAAATATCAGCAGCTATAGGCTAATTTGGTATGCGTCGTCACTTTCTGAGAGAAGTGGTGCGTTACCTGACAGAAATGCAGGGCGTCTCATATTTTTGGCCATGACTTTAACTGGCATGGCCCATTTGGCTTTGGCATTCTCATGTTTATTTCTTTAGTTTGCATTGGAACAACACAAAAAAGCCAAGTCTGATACATTCCACACATAACTCCAAAAATGGACTGGACAGAAGTATTTCAAGCATGTGATGCTCCTTTAATTTGTAAAGAAGCTCACCTGTACCAATCAACAGGTGCTGGCAACATAGAAATCACACTTGCAACCAGTTAAAATGGAGAAAAGTTGACTCAACCTTTGTGTTGTGTTGACCATACTGAGCATGGAGAAAAGAAAGAAGAGCAAAGAACTGTCCAAAGATTTCGAAAATCATGGACAGTCTCAAGGCTACAAGCCCATCTCCAGAGATCTGGCTGTTCCTGTGTCCACTGTCCATTGTCAAGATGTTTACAGCCCATGGTGCTGTAGCTAATCTCCCTGGACGTATATGACTGATTTGTAATGAAGGAGTGTTTGGTGTGTTATCTAACAGAAATGCAGGGGTTCTAATAGTTTTTGACCATGACTGTAGCTCTCATGGCTCATTTGACTGATGTGATGTTTTAGGAGGAGCACCCTACATCTGGCCAACTGAACATGGGGCTGTTGAAACGCATCGTTGAATAGTTGTCAGAATACTTCATGCCATGACCCACAGCTGTAAGCACATGGTAAATGGACTGTATTTATATAGTGCATTTTTCCACAGTGTGTTGCACTGGCCAAAGCGCTTTACATGAGATGATACACTATTCACCCATTCACACACCGATGACGACAGGCTGCCCTGCACCGGCGCTAGTCAAGCCACCGGGAGCAATTCGGGGTTCAGTGTCTTGCTCAGGGACACTTAGGCATGCGGGGAGACCGGGAGTTGAACCACCAACTTGCAGGTCAGGAGATGACTGCCCTACCTCGTGAGCCACAGCCACCCCCAACCCCATAATCCCAGGAGTGTGCATGAAAGAAAACATCTTGTGCATTTGCATTGAGGGAGTGAACCTTGATTAGACCAGAATTCTCTTTTCTGTACAGTGAATGCACTGACCCAGAATGGATAAAAGTTTCTGATTTTGTTGGGGACCTCGAATCTCTGAGAGACCTTCTCTGCACATGGAGTACAAAGGCTGGCGCATGTGGCACAGTCTCAGTACCTCTGCTTCTTTTGAATCGTGTTTTGTGTGAAATGCAGCAATTGCCGCACACATTAAAGAGCCCACAGCATGCTCATTTTGCTCATTTCCAGTCATAATGTTTAATCTTGGGTACCTCTGGATTAGCTTGGCACCCATTATAACTCCAAATAGTCTGTAATTATGTCAGAATGATAAAACCAGAGAGCCTCTTCCTAAAAACAAGAGGATAGTTCATGATCAGACACAACTCCTGCTACTGGGTGTTGCATAGAAAGTGGACAGCAGATGAACCGCAACAGCATAGATGAATTTATAACAGTATACTGTGTGTAACACTCTAAACAAAGCGGGTAATTGAGAAGCCCCATATTTTAACTGGCATAAGGCAGACATAGTAACTTCTCCAGCCTTACAACAATTCTCTCAAACATTACAGAAACAAGGCATTAACAGACATGTAATATTTTTTTTATAACTTACCATTAAGTCCCACAGAGTAGTGCAAATGTCACTCCCTTTCAAGTAGCTCCAAGGTCAGTAAATCCGACCGGCCGTCACTGCCTCTTCCCACATACAGTCCCAAAGTAGTGAAATTAATTCCAACAGGTAGCGCAGCGCCGTCAATAACATCATGGGTCATTAGAATCCCCTTGTTAACCCACATGACACAATGGCTTCAAGCAGTCAAAACAAACAGGTACTGTGCTCTGGGGAAATCCAGCATTGATGAGCTGATCATTCACCACCGTGGGGACTTCACAGGCTGGCTGCTTGTAGGTTAGACCCAGGCAGGTAAAACAGTGAGTTCCTGTACATGCAGTAACCTCAGGCCCTGTATTTTTCTCCACACCCTCTGGTCACAGTGCAGGCAGCAGGAGGTAAAAGAGCCACAAAACTGCATGAAGTGAAGAAATTTTGCTTTTACTATTGCACCAGTGGATGTCAGGCAAGCTCACATGAATGCATAACTGCCTGGAGAGTATGACCATTCAAGGAAATCCTTAAACTATCACATTATACTTAATTTTGTTAGAAAATAATTAGCAAGACATGTATAAACCAAGTTGCTTCTGCATAGAAGTTCAGTAACATACAGTAGGTACAGCTCATTTTCATAGGTCACATCTAAGATGATATTTCACCACTGTAACATTGCAGATAAATCAGAAAACAAAGAAAACCATGCCGTACACTCTTTAAGTGGTGTGTACACAACACAATGGCATGAAAAGGTCCGTCACCCCGCCAGCATGTACTCTTTTGGTGCTATTGATTAAGAATTGTGCAGACATAAATGTGATTGGCTGGGATAAAAGCAAGAGACTGTGGGCCATATAATTTCTACCTACTGGGGATGTCCTTATAAAAGTAAAACTAGGAGTACTACACTGTTAAGATATTCTTTTAGTCACACACTGAACATATCAAAAATTAAAGAACTCGGAGCAGAAGAATGGCTCTTATTATTATTTGCTGATGTAATGATTATAGTTTCTAGACAAGTGTAATGGAATAAAGTACATTTTCCCACCGAAACATAATGAAAGTTGAAGTATACAATGGAAAACAACAAGTAAGACAAACACTTGAGTAAATATCTATGTGGCCCCTTTTTTATTTTTAGTACGCATTATCAGGCTAGAGTTGGAGGAAAACTCACCACTATAGCAAAGACAAATGCACTGACTTCCTTCACAAACACCAGGAGTAGACTGCATGAAATTCTGATAGAGAAGACAATAGCTGTAGCTTTTCACTGCTACATGTTTTATAAATATTTAGATTTGTGAGGTAGCTGCAAATGTCTGAGTACAGTGTGAAAACATGCTAACTAATTGCAAAATTTTAATAAACCCTCAGACACACTTGTAAGGAAAAGTCCTTGCTGGTGCAGAAGTCGGCTATTCTGAAAACAAGATAGAAAGATAAAGAACAGCATTTTTTTTTTGTGAATAGGAAGACAATTCCGACGTATGAGGAGTTTTTCTATAGCCAGGACTAACAGCTCACTTAAACCAATAGGAGAACAATTCACTGTAGAAAAGACAAGAAGGATAAACTGCTAATAAAATGTATTTCCATATCCAAGTCTATAGCTGGACTTGACAGCATATATTAAGCAGAAACAGCCCATTCTGCTTTCAAAAAGGCTTAGGTTTGTTGGTGTAAGCCAGAGCTGAACAATGCAGGGAACTGATTCTGTTATCAACTCTATGTATTTATGCTATTTATATCAAATTGTAAGACAGAGGTGTAGATAGAACTGTAAGTATCTTGTCTCTGAAAACCTCTTGACAAAGCTGATTTTGTTTTCTATGTTTCAGACTGGTGCTATCAGTCCCAGTTTACCTGTGAGCATCAGTGCAATGGTAAGCTTCTTTAAAAACAGACAGTATTCAAAGTCATTTTGATGATGCAGCTGAAGTTTGGTAGATTGTCTGGACATGTAGAAATAGAGGACTGCAAAGCAGGACTAGGCAACTGAGTTAACTTGGTGATTACAATTAAACCTTGGGGGAAATTCGGCATGATATGGACACACTGACAAATCAACGTGAGTGGCTTCATTCACATTTCCAGCCTGTGAGTTTCTCTTGTGTTTTGGTTAGCCATGTTAGCACTAATTCTACTATCAGTGTGTTGGCACTGATAGATAAAAAACACAGTTTAACATCCAGACCTGGCATTTCATTGTGGCCTAAATTCAACAGTGTATAGCAGTGAATGCTCATGCTAACAAGGTAAACAAGACTCAATGCAGCACCTTTGCTGGATGATGTCACTGTCTGGTGCAGTGAAAGTGAAAGTGCCGGTCTTGTGTTAAGATGTGCTCCCCCTGTTAAAAACCTGGTTTCATGTAATGCCCCACTCTGATTGTGATTATGATAATGTTAGGGGAAATACAGCTCGATGGGGAAACAGGTTTAGACACAGCACCGGCCGTAGTGAACGCAATTCCCCAATAGAAAAAAAATGTAGAGGGCTGCATTTTTTCAGACCTTAGAAACTCAGTCTGAATGCAGCCTTAATGTTTGAAGGTAAATCTTATCACCGGAATTGCGCAACATAAAAAAACAGCATAAAAACTAAACCTGTTTTGATATCTGAGTAAAATGTACAATGCATTTAAACGATAGTTAAGGAGCTGTCCCTGGTAAGCTAGCGGTAAGGCGCAGCGCCCTCACCGCTGCGGCCAGGGTTGCGTCAGGAAGAGCATCCGGTGTAAAACACGTGCCAAATGTCAACATGTGAGTCATCAGTGTGACGATTCGCTGTGGCAACCCCTAAACGGGAGAAGCCGAAAATGAGTCATACAAGATTATAGATGAGACAATTAAGTGGTGATATGTATTAAAAGCCTGTCTGGTTTTAGACACACTTTTTTTAAAGGGGTCACTGAATAGAAAGTTGGTGTTTCCTTGTTTTAGCACCAGCCATGTGGGACCATGCCAGCAGCAACTGTGCAGGAAGTGTGCAGTCGCCCATCAACATCGTCACCAGAAAGACTTTGAAAGATGAGCGTCTGACTCATTTTGAGTTCAAAAACTACAAACAGATCATCACAAGCAGAGTGAAGAACAATGGCCACTCAGGTAAGTGTATTTTGCACTGAACATCAAATAATCACAGGTGCTTTATTGCTGTTTGAATTTTGATATGCCTGGTGTGTGTGCACCAGTTCAGGTTGAGATTCCTCACCTCAGCAGCATCTCAGGTGGAGGCCTGCCTAACACATACAAGGCTGTGCAATTCCACCTGCACTGGGGCAACGATGGCGGGCCTGGCTCTGAACACACCATCGATGGAGAACAGTATCCCATGGAGGTTAGCTACACAAAACACACACACCCTGTCTGTAACAAAATGAGATGGACAGTCCCGTCCCTGGTGGGCTAGTGGTTAAGCCGCAGCGCTCTCGCCGCTGCGGCTCGGGTTTAAATCAGGGTTGCATCAGGAAGGACATCCGGCGTAAAACACGTGCCAAATGTCAACATGCGAGTCGTCAGTGTGATGATTCGCTGTGGTGACCCCTAAAAACGGGAAAAGCCGAAAGTGACTTTCTACTATGAGAGATGGACAGTGGGTGATGAATACGTGTCTGTTCACATGAAGGCAGCAGGATTGCTAAACCTCATTCACATACAGTATGAAGGCAGAATTTGAAATTAAACTATGTTGTACAGCACTCACTGTTCACTAGATGAAATGTCATATTTATTATAAAGTGTCAACTAAGAACTTTGGGTCTCTGTTTAATCTACTTATTAATATAGTTAGCTATTTAAAAGGGTTGTTTACATTAGTAGTTAGGTGTAGACACAGGTGTCAAACAGAATAACTTGAGTTATAATCATAAAAGTGCTGATTTTTTTCTAAAGTCTGTCAGTGGCTCTCAACCACTGTCTTATTTAAGATGTACATTTTTAAAAACAATAGAAAGTCACTGTGTTATAGGTCACTGTGCACAAAGACAACCAAGCACAGGGACAGTTTCTTCCCCTGGGCTGTCACTCTGATTAACCAACGATGGTATGACTGGACAATAACTCTCAGTGCAATACTTGTAAATATACCTCGTGCAGATTATACAGATTCGTACAGGTCTCTGTTTTTAAGTACTCTATTTTTTCTCCTACTTATCCCATTCCAATGAGCGTTCCTTGTCTGTCTGCATTGTTTACTGAGGGTTTAAACTGCTTATTTTGCATTGTTTGCACTGTTTGTTGCTTGTTAATACTCCTTATATTATTATTATTATATTACACAGCCTTATGCTGGTTTACTGTTTACTTGCCCCTTGCATGGGGATATGTATATACACATTGAGAGCTGATGTACCAGAGTCAAATTCCTCGTGTGTCCTACACACCTGGCCAATAAAGCAGATTCTAATTCTGACAACTATAATTGTATTTTCATTTTTGGAAAAATGCAAAATAATTCCATGGAACAGCTGGGCACTGTAGATTTAATACATCTTACTCAAACAGTGGCATTGGTGCTCACTCATTGAGTATTTATGGCAGAAGAATGGCTTATAAAGGGTTGGCCCACAATAAACTACGGTGCCTATGTTCACTATAATGAAGAACAATGATACACAGTGCAGTGGTGCAGCTCACCAGCGTGCTTCTGGACAACAGTACAGTACACAAATAAGCTATATGAGGCTTTGGTTATACAGACAGTACTTTTTATATTTCTTGGATACCCCATTAGCTTCTGACCAAGGGAGCTAGTCTTCCTGGAGTCCACAAAATTTTTTTTACAAAAGTCAATTTATATCACAATTTAAACATTAATTCAGTAAACACGTCAGAATGATTATTCAATCTCCAATACCATTACATCCCAAAATAAAATATTTACACCTCACAAATAAGCAAAATAACAATCCACCTATAAAGAGTTGAAAACAGGTGAAAACAATGAGTGCTGATTAAAGTCCGAAACTAAGGTGAAACAGAAACAGGAAGTAATGTCAATGACACCTTCAAATTTCCAACTTTAAAACAAAAACTACTAACAAAATTAAGATTAACATTAGATTAAATTCAAGATCTATATTGCAATCATAAAATTTGCTTCAATAATTTTTTTTAAATATCTACTATCCCTTTGCTGAATTACCAAAGGAAGCCAATTCCATGCAGATGAACCTCTATAAAGTGGGCTCATCAAAAATCCATTAATTGCCATATATGGTGGAGGGAAACCTGTATACATATCACATTAGCAAAAATAGTGGTGTAATTTTATAAGATGCATAAATAGCAACAAACAGGATTTTAACTTGGCTTCCACCGTCCTCCAGTTGGGACTCTCTGAATCTCACAATGGCACTGAAAGGACTGCAAAGAATTAATCTTGCTGCTCTCCTCTTGACCAGACCAATGGGCAGTATTCCAGATGTGATCAAAGTAATGATTGTATAACATTTCTAACAAATGAAGCTGAAGTACAGCATCTCTAACTAACTGCAATTCTTATTCCCATCTTAGAAATAATAGGATCTGCTCAAGACAGTAATGTGGTCTTTGTGACCTGTTCAGCCGGTCTCCCATCAGTTAACAAATTAAGTGGATCAGCTTTTGTAAAAGCAATTCTTCTACCTAAGGTTTCATTTTGTAAATGTTTAAAACCAATTTATTCATCTCCATGCAATCTACTACAGAATGCAGTGCTACTTTTAATTTTCCTCTCAATTCGTCCAATGTACGAGTCACCAAACACAGTCATCAGTATACATCACCACCTTTAACTGCATAAAGATGGTGATGATTAATTAATGATTAATGATTAATTAATCATTAATTAAAAAATGGCAAATAACAGTAGCCCCAAAATGACTTCCTTGTGGAAATCCACAAGCAGTTTTCCCTGTTCTCAGAGAAACTACCATTAAAGTATACTTGCTGGGTCTTACAAAGGAGAGAGCTTTCCATCCAAGTAATAGCCGTAGTAAAATCCAAAAGTGCAGCACCTACAAGGTTCCTCTCATTGAAGTATGTTAACCATCATATGATTTATGATGCTTGTAGAGGGCTTGTAGAGTGTCCAGGTCTATATGCATATTGAGTAATAGTAAATAGTTCATTTCCAATAAAATAATTTATTATCTGATTTAAAATAATCTTTTCAAAATCTTGCCCTAGTATATGCAAATACCATTAGCAGTAGTAGTATTACAGTAGTAAAGGCTGCCTTTTTTGTTCTTAGGTAAAGATATCACCTTAACCTCTTTCCATAAATCAGGAAATATTCCACTTGACAAGCTTTTATTAAAAATATGATATATTGGTTTAGATAAAATTTTTAAGAACTTTTCCATCTATATATTTTATGCCTGAGGATTTATCCTCTGACAAAGAGAAGAGAATATCCTCCTAACTTTTGATTACAGTAATTTGTTCAAATGAAAAACATTTTGTCCTTCTTTATCTTGTCTATCAGGGTACAAATATAATTAACATCAGATGGTTTCATACCAGATGTCAAACTGTTAACCTTATTACCAAGAAAATAATTAAAATAGTTGGCCACCTCATATCTGTAAAATGGCCTGCATCAATAATGTGTACATGGGAGCTCTTCATTCTCCTGTTCATTATTTCATTCAAAATTTTATCCATGAACACTTTCAATGCACTATTCTCTTCATTTTCCTTATGCAGAACAGACCAATAAGTTTCTCTCACATCATTAATAAATAAATCAACATTAAATGTTCTCTAAGACCTACAACATACAATTAACACCAGGTGTGGGTACTTTTTGGTTTTTCTTGTTACAGCAAATATATTGTGGTCAGTACATCTTACTGGGACTGATATTGTCTTTGAATATAACTCTGGTATAATAGTAACAATTTGATCAATTACTTTAGATTTGAAACATGTTGACAATAAAAAAATAAAGGCTATCACTAGACTTATAAATGGTGAAATATACTAACTGAGCCTCTAACTTTATAATAGACCATTGCATCCTCAGGTTTAGACAATCATTTTTATCAATAAAGTTTCCATACAGTTTTAGTATTATTTCAGTATCTTAGATATTGTCATGAACTCTTCTACAACTAGTTTCCTTAAACTGAAAAAATCATGACATTTTTCATAGTACCACTCACAATATGATTCTACATATACCATATAGCCTTTTTTGAAGACATTGTAACACTGTGATGTTGTTTCTACAGCTGCACATTGTCCACATGAAGCACCATTACACTGATCTCAAAACAGCACTGTCAGACCCAGAGGGAGTTGCAGTTCTTGGGTTTTTCTATGAGGTAAGCATTTTTAATCCTCTATTGCTGAAATCAAGCTGACATGAAACAGTCCTTAAATGGGTCTCTTTCCATTTTTAGATGTCCAATAGTGAAAATCAAAAGTATGATCCCCTCATTAGCTCTCTGCAAAAGATTACGGCTACAAGTACGTATTGAAGTTCATCATAAGCAAACAAAAACACCAGCTCCATAGCACTATTGCAAAAAATATATTTATTTATTTATTTATTCCTGCTTTCAGATACCAACACATCTCTGCTTTCCACCTCCCTGGCACAACTGATCCCATCTGAGACAAATCTGACCTCCTACTACCGTTATAAGGGGTCTCTGACCACCCCACCATGTACTGAAGCTGTGATTTGGACTGTGTTTGAGAATCCCATTCCTCTGAGCATGAATCAGGTTAAGATAAATAGCCAGAAACATTTAAGTACATTTTGCTAAATCATTGTCTTTTGGTTGCAAACAAGCTGTTTCTAATCAGAAATTAAATCTAGCCATCAAAAATATTTTGTTTAATACACCGGGAAAAGTATTTTGATGTACTTGGGTAAAATCAGCTATACAGCAGTTTAATTTAAAAATACCTCATTACAGGCGAGTTCCAGAATCAAAATTGTATATTTACAGTGTTTCAGAAGTAGAAGTATTCATTCTGTAGAAGAATTTCACCAGTGACTGATGCATTTTTGTACATTTCATAATTAGGTTGTTACCGATGTAACAATGCAGTAGTATTTTACTGTTGCAGCTAGTTGAGCTAGTTTCTTCTGCTTCATGTAGCGTTAGGTCATAATGATACTCAACCTATATAAGATACTCAACAATATTTTAGAAATACTGGATCATTTGACCCCTTTAGGCCTCAAATATAGGGGAAATGTCTGCGTACAAGCAATATGGTACTGCTAATAATTCATAGCCAACTTAAATGTGACAATGAGGTCCCAGTTACCAATTAGGCACTGCTTTCATGTAAAAGGTAACAAGTCAAAGAACCTGGGAACCACTGCTTTAATCTTTGATAATATGTTGGATTTAATCAGCCTATCATTTTTTTTTTGTCATTATTTTTCTGCAAGTTAGTAATTACAACTGTCAGATAGATGTAAAAAGTTCAAAATGTATCTGTGGAGTACAAGCATAAAATAGAAATCAGTGTTTCATGTACAGTACATAAGCAAATGTACTGAGTTACATTCCACCACTGATCTTGAACGTACAAGTTTAGACCAGAACAGCAGTATTCACTGTCTTGACACATGGCAACTGTCTGACACATGTCTTTATATTGTGTTTCTCCAGCTGAAGGCATTTTCTGAGCTCAGATTTGCTGATAAAAAGCAAATGGTGGATAACTTCAGGCCGATCCAGCGCCTTAATGGGCGGCAGGTGTTCTGGTCAGGAAGTGCAATGACCCTAGCCAGCTCCGTCCTCCTTGTGAGTGCCATCACCATGGCACTGGGAATGGCCCAACCCAACTAGACCGAGGCGTGATGTCCACGAGCACAACAAGGTCACTCTTCAGCTGAACCTTGGTTCATAACATCTTCATTGCATAGCTGCCAAGATAATCAACCATTTCACAGGAATGACACATCTGGTGTTCTTCCCTCACGACACAGATGACAAAGACATTCGAAGGATGCCTTATGAACGCTGCCGTAAGGGTTCGGTCAGCATACATGCATGCATAGTGAAATATTTGGTCTTTTTTCAGCATTATGAATGTTCCATAGAGCTGGTTACCAAGCACTCAGAGTGACAGCTGAATTCAACACCAGGCCCCTTAGCCATCATCCTGTAAACACCAACACACGCATATCTTCAGACCTCATCCACTTTATCCTATGTCAGATAAATTTAGCTTCTGCTAATGTCAGTGTGAGTTGCCCATGGTCTCTGCTCTGCATGCCGATGTCACCCTCGTGACCTACCACATAATGTGTGGGTTTTCAATGGGGCATGTAAATGGCATAGAGCTATTAATAGCAGAACTGAGCCACAAAAGCAAGTGCCATTTCAAAGTAGTCTGCGGGCAGTGTGGCGTTTTTTTTTTTTTCAAAGTTCAGGAGCACATAGTGCGGAGGTCAGGTTTTCATCTCACAGCCAGCATGTGTGCTATTAGCAGAGCTGCAGCGTCTGTCCTCGCAGATGCAGAGGCTACTGAAACCTGAGACAAAGAAACATTCAAATGCTAATAGTGGGTCACAAAATGAGTGACAGCACAAGGAGAAGAGAGCAACACTTGTGAGGCTCAATCAGCACCTGACATGTCACAATTCCTTTCAAACTTATTATTTTCATTCATCTCAAACATTTGCATGAATCCACGTCTTAATGTTTTTGATGAGCTACATGTACATGGCTGCTGGAGTGAAGCTTCACACACAGAACAGTGCTTGCCAAATTCATACCCACAGCTCAGTCACTCCATCTCTGATTGTCCATTTGAGTGTCTCCAATGCACTCACTGTTATCGACTGTGAATTACACGCCACTGAGTTCCCACTCATTTGTTCTGCAAGACTTAGGTTCTCTAATGAGAGATGTGTGCAGTTTTCCATCAAGATTTATTGTGATGAATAATTTAAGGATCTGTAAAAGTTCCATAAGTCATCAAGTTATATTTCTATGCTGCCATTGTATACATGTATTTACTGAATGTGTATATTCATGTGAGCTGCACAGTTGCTGTTATTTATGCATTGTAGTTTATATAGTACTGAATGCATATATGCAACATCAAGTTGTTCATGACCAATAGTTTAATTTTGATGTCCAAATATATGAGACTGTCAACTTTTTAATTCTTGAAAGTATCATAAATAATACTCTGCTTGTGATCCAAACAAACAATAAACTACTTTCATGGCTTTTTAATAACAATTCAAGCTATTTGATCTATAGGAAGTGACAATCCTGCTTCAGGTTCTCTATACTGTGAAACAGAGCAGGAAAATGTTATCTAAGCTAACAGAGGACTAACACAAACACACTAACCTCTATGATAACAAAATGCTTTTGCATACGTGCTCCTCTTTCAAGTTATCCCTTATCTTTTCTATTGTTCTCCTCTGTTATTAAGACATCAAACAGCTTGGTGGGAAGGACAGGCCTCTCAGCGACCAAAAGAGAGTGTACACAATCAAAGCCTCCCGTATGTTCCGCTGCTCAGATCTTCATTGTGTCTTCTGTTAAGCCTTACCCTCAAATACCCCATGTCCCTAGGGTCTCAGGGACAAAGGGTGCCTTCTCTCTGGGAGAAATGGAGGCATCCTCATAGTGAATGTGACCTCCCCTGATAGTCAGCTGCAGTTAAGTCACTGGGCTACTCTTTGTCCGTGTGGTCTAAAGACAAACAGTGTCACCTTAACCAGTTCTCTATGTTATCTCCCTACTTCCTGAATCCAAGCTTTGCAATGAAACCTATGTAGCCTGTTGACTGATGCTGCAGTGTGTGTATCTCTACACTAAGCTGTCGACAAGTGATATTTGTGGCACAATAAACTTTCCTCTAATGCAGCTGATACGCCTGCTAACCTTGTTATTGTGTTGTCAGTGATATAATTCAGAGGTGTCATGATGCAACAGCGACCAAAAGACGGTGGAAAATAAACCCTTCCTTTCCAGGTGATGTACCAGCAGCTAACCAGCAACAACTGCCCTCACTACTGTTGTTTTTTTGTTTTTTTTTACAGGGATAAGGATCTAGAGTCAAACATTCATTCCCTCTTAATTTAAACTCGGAAGAGAAAAGCTATGAGCTATGAAGGACATTGTTGTTTTATCCTTCAAAATTTTTGTCAAAAATCACAAAAATGCACCAGGGACCATTAACTGCTAATATCTTTCTAGACACAGGCTTTATAGAAGTTGGAAAAGAAATGTATTTATCAAGCTTGTCAGAAGAAGGAACTTTTAGCTTTTTCTTTTAATTGCTCTTTTTGTGTATTGTTTTCGTAATTATAGTGTCTGAAACTATGATGTAAGAAGAAAGAATTTATTTTTCAGAATCAGGCTCCCTGTTGTGTGAATGAAAGCCTGTAGACTCATGCAGACTTAAAAACTACACTGTACTGTAGTGTGGTCTATAGAATTAGCTGTAGAAATGAGTAGAAGCAGCTATTTTTTTCCACTCACCAGCCAACAATATGAAGTGTTCATACTTCTTTCATGTTTGCAAATGTTTTTCTTTTTCTGTTCACCCACAATGACAGCAGGCTTTAGTAAAAAGTCTGCCGCAAATCGATGGGACATTTGTATCGTTTTTTTCTGGCTGTAGCAAAGTGCTCTGACCTTTCTAGAAGCTGGTGAAATATCTTCCATGTATTGTTACACCACCTTGTCCAGGGGAGCTCTGACAAGATTAGCAGCTCAGTGGTTGCCCAGTCTACACACATGGGCAGCCTCAGGAAGCCGTCACCTCTGTTTTCACCTCACAAGGAAAAAGGAAATAGCCAAGACTTCTCTTTCTTTTTTCTTCCTGTTAGTGGACTTACAGCAGGTCATCATTAGTGCTGAGGCACCACATTTAAAAAAAAGAGAAAGTTTCCTCCTCGTGTACCTGTTTCATAGCTGAATGAGTGTAGGGGGCATGTCTGCTGTGGCACAGATCATATTCAGCTTCTTCAACTTAAGGCTGACTCAGACAAACTCTGGTTTCAAAGTTAAGGCATTGGCAGGATGTGGACGGGAGGCATTGCTGAGCAAGGCAGCAGGTGTGGCTGAGTCAGTCACTCACACAAACACACAATGCAAATGCTGTGATGAATTGCATAGTAAAGGGCTCAAATTAAAGATTTATGTGCACAGATGGTGTTACTGTAATGGATCAAATGGTTCTGTCACTATGCATCAATCAAACACATTTAGTCCTCCTGGCCAGTCCTGTGCTGTGCAGTGAACATCTCTGATGTCCACTTTAAGTTCAGTGAGCATTTTTCCTGCTGTCCTGAGGGGGACAAGGG